TCTATCTATCTATCTATCTATCTATCTATCTATCACTGTGTGTGTGTGTGTGTGTGTGTGTGTGTGTGTGTGTGTGTGTGTGGCGCCATTTTGTATACATGATGTATGTTCCACTGGGCGTGCTGCGCGCGGTACCGCAAAGAGAGAGAGGAGGGTTTTTGTTGTAAGGTCTTTGGGCTACCCACGAAAGTTTCCGCAGGGCTCGCTTCGCTACTCAAGCATTCTCACGGGCAGTCCTGAGATTTCACACCAGCACTACTCTGACCATCTGCATCGCTCCGGCTCACATGATGGGGTAACATCCCCAAATTGCACCTTTACTCCCCTTCCTCGCATAGCGCCATGGCCATGGCGTCAAGTTTAGAGCCTGCGGAACAAGGAGGTTACTGTTTGTTTTAAGTTCCTTGCTGCGGAACCAAACTTGCGAGTTCTGTTTCAAATCAGGGCTAAGCGGGCAAAGCATGCTCGGTACCGCGGATGACGCTGGCCCAGGGATGGAGACTCGGCGATAAATCACGTGTAATTTGATAAACATGCCGACCAGACCGAAGATGGTGGAGATCCAGCCTCGCGCTCTACCAGTCCCTGATGCCAGGCAGAGCTGTTAAAGTACTTTTTAAAAGTACAATCTAAAAATGTATTTAAGTACAGTAAAAGTACTTTCCTTTTTTTTAAAGTACTTATGAGTACATTTAGAGTACTTTCTGCTGATTTGCTAAAACACGTCAGTGCTAATGCAAAACATCATATTGAATAACATATTCAGTATATTTGACAAATTAGGCCATTTATTACTAAAAATGTAAACAATATACAAAGCATTTGAATAATGTACGAACTGAACGTAGGAGGAAATTGTCCGTGAAATTGAAAAAAACCCACAACCAAACAAACAGACGCAACTAATGAGTACGGTAAGTGATATTATGAATAGAACTTGTTTGAACAAGACGTTGTTGTTGTTAGCGATCCAGTATTTGTTTGAGCAAGACAATGTGATCAAATGTCAGTCAGTCCAAGAGGTCGGAAAGTTCTTCAGGAAACGTATCCAAATTAGAAAATGTAGAGACAAAGTTGCTCTTAAGAAAACATAAAATTGATGAAAATGGCCAACAAAGAAACGGAAAAGTGCATTGAATTTTTCATTAACAAATCATCAAGGAATCAATGTAGCCTTAACAAGCAAAAACCACATTAAAAAAACAACTAAAAAGAAATTTAGGTAGCCTAAAAAATTGTTAGATATATACATTGAGAACTCAGTTTCAGTTTCAATCGATTATATGTGGTAAGACAGATTTTGGTCACACTGTGTAGTCCACGGCTCCCACGGCAAACAAATATATACATATAGTATCATAGAGTCTAGTAAGTGTAGTGTAACCAAAGATTTTCTACTTCAGTAGTCTCCGCCTAAGATCCCAGTGCTCGGGAGCAAGGAAAATACCGGATCTTAGCCGACAAAGCAAAGGAAAAAACAGTGACCCATGAACTGACCCTGGGTGGGTTTTATGATATAATATGATGAGGAATGAGTGGTCAACCTTGATGACCAATTACAGTGGCATGAGGCATGCTATATGTACACTCATTAGCCTATCGTGAGTCTCGAGATCTTATCTACGTTTATCCAGTTGCCCCTACCCTTTACCTATCCAGAAATTTTAGCTTCCCCCGACTTTGTTGTTACCCACCATTACGTTGTGACCACACCAATTAAAATTCAGGCTGTCTCGCAAATTCGGGAATAGAGAAAAACTACCCCTGGGAAGAGTTCACAGTTCAATGTGAGTGATCCTGCCAGGAGCGAACTTGTAGGCTCTACTCTCCCCAGCGAGTGATGTAAGTTTAGGTGGCGAGCTCAGATCAGATGCGAGTAGGATGTTTGGGGAAAGGAAACGCATTGGTCAGTTCACACCACGGTGTGATCCCGTCTGGGGCAAAGATTGTATCGTTTCATGGAGTTTTACAACGCTTGAGATCCCATTCACGAGAGTGGCTGATCTATGACGCAACGGGCAGTTCTTTGATCTCCACTTTTAACTCTTGGTTGATCGGCTTTGCCCGCCCGGGTGTTTGTTCCGTAAATTATGATCAGAAATGCCGCATTACCCCTTCATTAAGCTTCAAAAGTACTCAAAATGTCCTTTAAAATATTCAAAAGCACTTTTATAAAAAGTATCATAGTAGAGTAAAAGTACTTGTTCATTGTTCTAAAAAATGTACCGGAGTACTTGGAACGTAAGTACAACTGTACAAGTACCGGAGTACTTGTATTCGTTACAATCAGCTCTGGCGTCTGGTTGTGCATGCTCTATTTTTTTGTAGCCCCAGGCTGGTAGTAGCAGTTCCGATTCAGCATTCGTTTTGGCATTTTGGCAACATTTGCGGACAGATAAGAGCAAAATTATTGAATATATTGAAATAATGCATTTGTTGCAACCTTATTCGATACCATTTTAGAGAATTTTGTGTAAAATATGTCTTTATTTCACGATTTTATGGAATTTATACATTGGCCTACTTTCATCTGTTGTACATGTACAAACCAAAACAATAAAAACTATTAAATGTGCCACACACAAAAAATCCAACTAAAACACTTAATCTACAACAAAAAAAACCCCACAAAACAACAACTCTAAATTTAGTGGCAAAAAAACAACTAAGAATGGGCCAAGAAGAACAATAATAACTGCATGGATTAATTTTTTTCTGTTTACAGTTATCCTCCCTTGGGCTAGAGTCGTTTTCATTCAGAGAGAGTAAATCTGGCGGCGCCATACAAACTCTAGAGCAGAGCTGGTTGTAACAGAGAACTTACGTTACAATTTTCGGTACTTTTACTGTACTCCGGTACATTTTTGAGAACCAGTACTTTTACTCTACTCCGATATTTTTTTATAAATGTACTTTTGAGCATTTTTAAAGTACATTTTGAGTACTTTTGAAGCTTAATGAAAGAGTAAGTGCCGACATTTCTGATTATAATTTACGGAACAAACACAAGGACGGGCACAGCCGATCAACCAAGAGTTAAAGGTTGAGATCAAAGAACGGCCCGTCGCGAAAAAGATCAGCCACTCTCATGAATGTGATCACACAAGCGTTGTAAAACTCCATGAAACGGTACAATGTTTGGCCCAGACGGGATCACACCGAGGTGTGAACTGACCGATGAGTTTCCTTTCCCCAAACATCGCACTCGCATCCGATAAATCTGAGCTCGCCACTAAAACTTACATCACTCGTAGGGAGGGGGTAGGGCCTACAAGTTAGCTCCAGGCAGGATCACATCGAACTGTGTACTCTTCCCTGACCGTTGAAGGCAGTTTTTCTCTACGAAGTGGCTAGCCGTACTTAAGTACGGCTAGACTGAGAGTCTAGCCGTTCTTAAGTACGGCTAGACTGCCAGTCTAGCCGTACTTAGATCTAGGTTTGGCCCTATCGACTCAAGCCTGTTAAGTACACAGGTCTCATTAGATCTAAATCTAGCAATTATTCAGGTTCAAATACATGCAAGCCAGTAAGACATATTTTGGTTTTGTCGGAAATACAAATAATTTAGGCATAGCAAACTAAAAATTTCATTTACAATTCAGTCATCAAAACATGTATTAAGTACGGCTAGCCTGACAGTCTAGCCGTCCTTAAGTACGGCTAGCCTGGCTGTCTACCCGTACTTAAGTACGGCTAGACTGCCAGTCTAGCCGTACTTTTCTTAGGCCCAATTAACATTAGAAAACAGGAGGTTTAAAATACATGCACTGTCATTAAGGCACCTGGTTTCGTCTCAAATACAAATACTTTAGGTACTGCACACTAAAAATTTATACGTGTATTTACAATTCAGTAGGCCTATTTTTTTTTTAATGGTCAGTCTAGCCATCATATTTAGAATAAGTACGGCTAGACTGCAAGCCTTTTCTCTATTCTCGAATTTGCGAGACAGCCTGAATTTTAATTGGTGTGGTCACAACGTAATGGTGCGTAACGACAAAGAGGGGGGGGGGGGGGGGGCGGGGACTCAAAATCAAATCAGAAATGGAACGCTAAAGATTTGGGACAGGTAAAGGGGAAGGGCAACTGGATAAACGTCAAGGAGTTTAGAACTAATACGTAGATAAAGATCTCTAGACTCACGATACGCTACTCTATAAAGAATCTGGGGGGTTTCAGCCTTGCATTTCACAATGATTTGATGTTTTGGCAATTAGGATTGATGTATGTAATATACTTTAAAACAATTGATTTGAAAAAGTTTTAGTGGCCATGTGTGTTCTACAGCAAAAATTAAGGCAGTTTACCCATCAAATCAGTGCATCTGCATGTGCTCCCCCCCCCCCCCCTCTCTCTCTCTCTCTCTCTCTCTCTCTCTCTCTCTCTCTCTTCAAAACACTTTCTCTCTCACAATGCACACGGAAATAGATCTAATTATAGTTTAAATATATAGACGCTCGCTAGCACTGGCTGAGACTCACAAAGTTCAATAGAATTGTTTTAACCGTCTGTTTCAACTAGCTGTGCCCTGTCGAACTGCCAAGGCACAGACAGGGTGAACAGGAAAAGTTCGGCAAACTCATTTCTGATGTCTAGTGCTTGTTGCCCAGGCCTGCCAATCGTAGCAGAAGTGTCAGCTTCCATTTGAAACAAACTATTGTCATTGTCATCTATTAAATCAGAGTTTTCATCTTCATCTCTTTTTCTCACAAAGTTGTGAAGCGCACAGCAAGACAAAACCACTTTAACTGCAGTCTCAGGCTTCATGTTCAAAGTTGTTTTGAGAACAGACCACTTTGCTGCCATGATGCCAAACGCACATTTGATGGACCTTCTCGCGCGTGAATGTCTGTAGTTATAAATTCGCTGTACATTGTCGAGTCCGCGACGTGGAAATGGTCGCATCATATTTCGAAGGAGGGGATGCGCTTCATCCCCTAGGAAAACATACGGCAAAGGATCACTGCCACAAATGCTTTCGTCGGGAGGGATCGGTAAATTGTTCGAATAGAAGGCCCTGCCAAAAGCCGAGTGTTCAAGCACTCCACCGTCGGAATGTCTCCCAAAGTCACCGACATCAAATGCGATGAAATTGGATTGAGCATCACATATTCCTTGCAACACAATAGAAAATGTTTGTTTATTGTCAAAGTACGTGCTGCCTGAGTTGGGAGGACACTTCACTTTGATGTGTTTGCTATCTATGGCACCAAGAACATGCGGAAAATTCCAACGCTGTGCAAAACCCATGGCTATTTCCTTGAACTTGAAGCTATCAGATGTAAGCTCAGGTAGTTCAGTAGCTTTTAATTCGTCCCAGATGACGTTGCATGTTTCGTAGAGAATATCCCTCACAGTGCTTGCTCCCATTCGAAATTGATAATGCAGGCTTTTTGATGTCTCCCCAGTGGCCAGATACCTGAAACAATGACATAGTGTTAAATACAACGTCTATATATTGAAATGAATATACAGTGTATATAATATGTACACGATTCAATAGTAAAAAAATACCACATTAATAAATCAATATGTATATATGTATGT